ATGTGGATGGAAATTATCCCTTACAGGATATTTGGAGTAACCTTCACTTCCTTGATAGATGTATCACATTAGAAAGTTTTGTACATAGCTGAGCAGAGCATATACCTTGAGGACTGGGAGAATAAATAACAGAACTTAAATGTTATTGGATTATTGATAGACAATAAAATGTATTTTATTCTCAAAATATCCATCAACTTAATTTTTCCTTCTTTTGGAAATTTACTAAAATTTCTATTTGATTCGCAAATTGTAGGTGTCTGTAGATATGCATCACAATAAGAGAACTTCTACAGTGATCTCATGCAGACATTCAGTACTTCCCTGTTTGTCTTTTGCCTTGTGCGGTTCACCCCTTTCTGGAGTGCTCTGGTATTTATACCATCTTTGCGACTCCTACAAACTCTTCCTTAGCACCCCAAGTTTAACTTCTAACAAAGAATTCCACAGAGTTAGAGATCCTATTCATTTGGTTTACCACTGTATTCCCAATGCCTGGAATAAAATAGGCATTCAACTATTTTTCCTAAATGCATTACTGAAGACACTGTTCAAAAGTCACACTGTTCTTATACATGTGTTGCACTTACCCTCCTCTGTTATATAGAAGCAACTAGTGAGTCTATGCGGGTTAGCAGAAGTGAAAGCTATGCGAGGCCATCGCCACCACCTCCCTGTGTGAACGCTTACCACTCACAGCAATGCTTAGCACTTGCAGCAGGAATTTAATAAATACTTGTCCCATTTGAACATCTTCCATAAGTTCTGTACATAGCAATGAAGTGTCTGTCCATGAATATAAACTTTGCTTAGAGTTGGACAACTGTGTCTGGAATTTAGAAGTATCACTGTGTTTCTCCAGAAAAAAATACCTAGCAGGAAATTAATCAGCTTTGAAAACTAGAGCTCAAAATGCCAGCCCCAATCTGCCTATCCTTGCCTTACCTGCCTTGGTGAGTAGCCACTGAGCGAGAGAACAGTGGTGGGAGGAGGACAGCAGGACTGGGAAAAGGTGCTGATGACAGACTATCACCCTGAAGTGCTTGCAAAATAGGTTAGGTTTCTAGAAACTTAAAAGTTACATGAATTCAGCTATTATAATAAAAATAATCACTTTGCATTTACATAGCACTTTGCAGTAAAATGAATTTCAAAGCAATTTGCCACACATTTTACAGTGGATCACTTGGCTTAGTCCCAAACAGTGTCTTTTGAGGTGGGGCTCTACAGCTGCTCACACCGTGCAGAGACCCGCAGAGCTGGCTCATGCCCTGCTTTATGTCATGTAGGCACTCCTCTCCCTCAAGTAAATGCCACTGCAGAGAAAGAACACATGGGAAGGGCTTTTGATCCCCTTAAAACAGGCATAATACCCACCATATAAAGGACAAAGAGGCAGAGTAATTGATTTTGTACCCAGAGAGCAACCCAAGTCATTGCAATTCACTCCAGCAAATATTTATTGATCACTTCGGGCAAGTTCCATAAACTACCTAAGCCTCAGTTTCCTTACTTGAAAATTGCTTTCCTCACAGGTTATTAGAAGGATTTAATGAGGAATGAGTGTGAAGTATTTCACACAGAACATGTCCCATATGGCATCACCTGTGCTTACCTTTGTTACTCTTCATTTCTTACATATCATTACATAGTAATGCATAAATGTATAATTGCAATGCCTTTTTAGATTCTCGTAATTTATAAATGTTTTGTTTTATGATTAAACATCTTCAGCTTTTTCATAAAGAAAAATTGTTTAAAATGAACCTCATCAACTCATCTAAATTCTTATATGAATGTAGGCCTTATAAGAACATAAGACTTATTGACATTGTATGTAGGATTAGTTAAAATATAATAAATAAGAATTATTTCCATATTGACAGAGATTTTAAAAATGGCAATGTTGTTGCTTTAAATTGTTGTTCATTTCATAGCACCATGAAAATAACCTAACAGAAATGAAAACAGGACCATAATAGATTGGTGGATTCACAAATAACATGCTGTACTCATGAAATGAAAAGGAAAAGATCATTTTGTGAAAGTCTGTATTTTAGCAACTCAAAGTGAATGAACTTTCAAAGAAAGGGAATCTATACCAGATAGAGCTAACCAACTATGGAAGCTTTCATTCAAGTACACTGCAAGGAGGAAGAGGCCACTCTAGCAGGGGACAGAAACTGAACTCAGCTCCAATGCAACAAAAATTGTGAGAGGAGTCAAGTGCTGGAATGAAATACTGGGAAAGCACTGAAGTTAGAAGGAGGTTGGACAATACAACTAAGCTGTCTGTGTTTGCTAATTGAAGTTAGTCTCTTACCCTTCTGCAGAGGCTGAGAGGTAGGGGCTCTGTCTTTCTTGTTTATTACCTTTCAAGGGGGTGGCTCTCAGGTCCTTGAGAATGGCACAACTGGGTTGTAAAACTTGGCAAGATCCCAGGAGAAGACTTACATCAGAAAAGATTTGCCTTAGTTTATTTTGTGCAACTATAACAGCATAGTTCATGCTGGGTAACTGACAAAGAAGATTCTTGGGCTGTGATTCTGATGGAGCCAGCATCTGGCAAGAACCTGCTTCCTGAAAACCTCCCCACATGTAGAAAAGTGGAAGGAAATTGAGCATATTCAGAGACACAGACCTCGGGGTGGTACTAGGGTTTCTAACAGCCCACCCTTTTGAGGGTGGTACCCGGCGGCCTAATCATCTCCTTTAAAGGATCCACCACTTCAACCCCATGAATCCCACACATGAGTTTTGACAGGGACAAACCACGTTCAAACTGAAGCATGAGCAAAAAAGGAATTTCTGATTACAGCTTTTCTGAATAAGTGCTCTAGGAAAACAAAGGGTGGTAATATAACCAGTAAGAAACCTGTCTGAAACTTCAAGTCAAGCAGAGGGGAACATTAAAGTCATCTTGGTCAATACACTCCTATGACCTTGATCAGTTGGGTTCTCCAGAATTCCCTCAGCGCTATGAATGGAATTAAAGCATGTTAGCAAAGGGATACTCAGTTGTTTCTCTCTGCCTGCTGATTGTGTTGCTGGGCAAAAGAAAATAACAGATAAATAAGTGTACTGGCAGAAGTAACTGCTGCTATCTCAACACTGACCTAAGTTTATCTTAATTTATTCTAGAAATTAATCTACCTTTTCTCTGCCAGAGTATTTCCAGTATAAATTAATTTACAATATATTAGAGAGATACATATTATGGTGGTGGTAGAAAATCATTTCATAGCATAAAAGGATTAAGAACCCCAAATTCTGTTCATGATTCTTAGGAGTTCCAGGTTTTGAGACATATATTTAGAAAGGGAAATTTTCTCATTGCTTTGAATATGTAACGATATAGAAAATCTTAAAGGTTTGGCCAAAGATGTTGGTCTGCAATTAATGAAAGCCTGGAAGGGGGCACATAGATCTCAGAAACACTTTATAGAGCTTGGTCCAAAGTTATCTCTACTGAAGCTGAACGTATCCTCCTGAAGCCTGAAAAAGGGAAACAGCCAATTATAAAGTGCTTTAATTTCTTCTAAATGGCTTTGCAAAGCACTAATGAAAAAAATGGACATTTGGTAGGATCCTCCTATGGTTTCAGATACAGACAAACAGAATCAACCATAACACAGTTATCCTGAAAGAGACAAAAACTGACCAAAGCAAGAGTGAATAATTCACACCCAGCTGTGAATGAAAATAGTCTGAAGCCACAGTTAATGAAACCACATGCTCCTTTCTGGGTGTTAGCAGCTGTGGTCAATAACAAGCCACAGCTAGGAGAGCAGTGTGTGCTTCCTCCAATGTTGGCAACTTGGATCAATAAAGTATAATTGGAACCTGCCAAGATGGCAGCGTGTCAAATGTGTATTTAAGCAGAAACTTAGATGCTCACCTGTTTGTGTAAAAATTGAGCACATGGCCTAATTATAAGTTTAAGAACTTTAAAAGTTTGAACACTGTAAATCTGCCATATGAGTGACTCAGAAAGCTGGCACATGCCAACTAGCATCAACAGAGTGCAGTCAGAATTGAGGAAGAGGTGTCAACATGAAGAGAAGGACTGCACTTAGTAAGTTATTAGTGAAAGGGCTAAGTGAGCTAGACTGTGTCTCCAGCATGGCAAAAAGAAAAAGATGAAAGTGTCATTTCAGTTTATATCCTTAAAAGATACCCAAGTGAAAACAGACTGTTATTTTGTTGTCAATAAACAGAATTTTTTTTTTGTATGTTATCTGGTAGGCATTTAACCTACCATCACCGTTATTTACTTCCACTTTAATTGGCACTCAGGCAAAGTTGCCTACTATTTAATTCTAACTTTCTTGGCAGTCAGTTACAAAGAGAATGGAGGAGAATGCACAGTCCACCCCACTATGTGTAGATAGGATGAGTGTGGAGCAAATGTAAAGTAGCTCTAGTGATCATCAACATTTAGGCAATCATAATTAATTCATGTGGAGACTCCTAATTCCAGGGGGCCTCAAGAGTGTCACTGCATGCCTTTCTCTGGCAGTCTTAATTTTGTGGCTAGAAAGAATTCAATCTGAGCTCTGTCCTGCTCTGACAACCAGTAGCTTTCCCTTGGGAGGCATGTCATTCAAAGAATACACTTTACTCCTTATAGTACAAAATCAAGGGTAGAAGTTGATTAATGGACTAGTTTGTTAAGTCAAATAAATAAAGTACTGCCTAGGAACACTTTCTTCTGTGTTACTTAACATCTTGTTGGCAAAATTACAAGTATTATTTCAGCATAGGGTAATCTCAGTTTTCCTCCACATCATCATGCTGATGGATTGGGCCCCAGTCTACAGTGAGTGATCTGGAGAATCGTTATTTATAACACAAATACATTTCACATGTCTTAATATAAAGAAAACCTCCTAAAACCTGTTTGTGCTCTTTTCTTTTACTTGTATTTCAATTTGCTTTAGGTAATTCAAGGAAAACAATCACATGAGACATTAGATAGGTAACATCAGAGAGTGACTTACTGGATGATATTAACAAGGTCTGTTCATTGTGACGAGTCTCATCAGACACCACTCCACGCCAGCCTCTCCCCTGTCCCCACGTCTGAGAAGAGAAGGGCTGGACTGGCACACTGACAAACAGCATTTGGATCACACTGGAACAGGGAGATATTTTCAATTGAACATAATTGTTTCTTACATTAAAGAACACAAACTTTATGACGATTAAATAACTGGTTTTAATATCTATTTTAAAAATTATTTATTGCACTTCCTTTTATGGGATTTATTATTTAAGTGTGGCAGCCAAGTTTTAAATGAAAACTCATCATGTATTGTTTGACGTCTTACTCTTCCATGATGTAAATTGCCAAGAAAGTTCAAAGTGAGGCTTAAGATGTGATATAATGCATGGAGGCCTATAGGTCTTTCCATCTGCATAGGCATTAGAGATACATGCTGGTACCCAGTTACGAGATAAAATTGAATTGGGATTAAGGGAAATATGGGAAATGACTTTGAAACTTCAAGAACATGAACTTGACTTTTATTAAGATTTATCTATCCACAGTATTCTTTACTTCCTTTTTACAAAACGTATTTGTAGAATTATTGCTCAGTTTATTTGCCTTGCAATATGTCATTATTGCCACCACAGTTTTTGAAGGGCATTTCAACGTCCTATTGATAATACCTGTGGGGAGTTTTGCAATGATTTGCATGAAGTAGCAGACTCTTTGACTCCTAGACTTCTCCTACCATCTTGACTGATGATCCAGATTCCTTGTTCAAGTCTTGAAGACTTTTCCCTCCTTTAAAAAGTACAACACAGAATCACTCTGTGTTAGGTTTAAGCAAGGTTGGAACCGTGGGCTTAGTGACATCATAAGGAGAGAAATTCCATCAGGATATGTACAGTCTTTCCTTGCTTGTGTAACTAACTGATCAACCACATGACACAAGTCAGTTTACTTCCTAGGACTTGATTTCCTCACCTCAAATTTCCTTACCTCCTTACATCCTGTAGAAAACATGTATTCCCAAGTGCTGGTCATAATATGCAGCTACCAAAATGAGTGCTGGGAGATTACACTGGTTTATTACTTTATTTTTAACTGTCTACCCAGCTTATCTCTATTGCCTCATCTGATGTCATTTTCTCAAAGAAAATTGTGTATTCTCCCAAAACGAGTCATTTTCTGAGGGCATGATTTATTTCTGTCTAAATTAGATCAGTTATTTTCTCACTAATCTTCAATACTCCCTCTTTTAAAAACCAGACTTGTACTGAGTACTTCAATTTAGACATGCAAATGATATTAAAACTCCTCCTTTCCTAAGGGTAAAAAGATATTAACCACCCACTTGCTTATTGGCTCTAGTTAATAGCTACAATAAATGAACATGGCAGATAGCAACAAATTTTGGCTTTTTATCATTTTTACATAGACAAAGCTGGCATGTTAAGCCAGAATTGCCATTAAACTAACCCATGTTAAACACATGGTGCTCAAAAGCCAAGGTTTCCGTTTCTTTGAGTGTATGCTAGCAGTTCTGACATTGAAGTGGGTCAAAACACTTCATGTTAGTCTAGTCTTTACACTTTACTAGCTTCATAGTTTTAGGTTAGGTGTTTAAACCTTTTCATGTCAGTGTCTAGAGACAAAATGGGCAACTCTGAGTAGTTTCAAACTTTAAATGAGATTATACATTATAGAGTTTTGGAAACTGAAAAGTACTCCCTAAAGAATTGCTGTTATTGTTTGTGTTTGCAGTTTAACATTTTTATTATTGTTGGTGTAGGAAATGTTCACTCTCATGTCCTCCAATTTCTGGAAAACAAGTAAATAAACGAAACACTTTCCTTGAATCTTTTTTGGAATTTTGGTTCCATCTTTACTTACTGTATTATTTCTTTATATAACTTAAAAATAAAATTGTAAACACATAATCCTCAAATACTAGCTGAAAATTCTCTCAGATGACCTCCTCAATGCAGTCACCTCCATTCAAAATCAGCCATCTGCTACAAGGGAACATGACATTTTTGAAGTTCATGGTTTTCATCACTCTGAATCCACAAACTTCATCATTCACTCAGTCATTTATTCATTTATTCAAACTCTGTCATTCATCCAGTCACATTGCTTTCCCCCTCCTATGGAAAAGCACTGGTTTGCATGCACTAGAAATATAAGCAGTGTAGGATGAACACAGCAGGAGGAATCATAGGGTTCCTGGAAATTACATTCCATGGAAGACATTGCACAAACACACAGAGGTTGATAGAAATAGCTTGAGTCGTGCCTTTCATGCTACCTACTTATAACACACTGTTACTGTTATTGATGTTGGAGGGGACTTTGCAGGCAATGCGAAGAGAAGGACACAGTCTTTGCTCTCAGCAGCTCGTGCTGGTTCTCACAGATCCGTCTTCTTGTTCCTTCTCCCCTAAGGTAAATCTTCTCTTATATTTGATATCTGTCATCTTTTTCTCCCATGAATTTTTGTGAACTATTTTAAATAAAGAAAATTTTCTATTGTTACACAAGTCTTTACAATATGTCCCCATGCTTACGTTCTATGAGAATCTGGACTCTGAGCCTATTGGGAGTAATAATTCCCTCTTCACGGCGGCCTTACTGGGGATAAGCGATGTCAGTAACTTATTTACATGAAATATTTTTATGTTTAAAAGGACATTTCTTTTCCATATGTGTGTGTATGCATGTGACTTCTACTTTTGAGGAAAATATTCAGATAATATAGATTCAAAATCACTTTAAAAATAAGGAAAATTTGGTTATATTACCATTCCCCCAAATTCAGCACTTATTTTTATTATTTTACTGAGCTTATCTTGGCTGTATTCACATACATTCCAATGTATTACAAACATTTCTCTACTTCTGATAAAGTATAACATCCAATTTCTCAATTCTCATTTCTGCCTGTAGTACAAGAATTGTCTTTCCCAAAACAGCGCATTTTCCCATCTCAGGTGCACTCAAAGACAGCCACCCCAAAGCCCTCAGTAACTCTGACCTTTCTGAGCACAGCCACAGCCGTGAGAGGCTATTTCTGCAGGGCAGGACCAAAAACAACAGGGCCAGGAAAATCGTTGTGCTGGTGTCCTCCCTAAAATAGTTGTGAAGATGTATATAGAACTTTAGTAAGTTGTTACCTAAAATGTTTTAAATAACTGCAAAAGATATATTTAGTTTCATATTATAAATATTGGCAGTTAAGATAAAATACATTACTCCTTTACATATGTTCAGTGAAATAAAAATCTAAATATCTCAGCAATATGTGATCCAGGAGTATTCACTTGAGGAGACACAAACAATTATTTCTTTAATATTTGTTTCCTTTCTTCTTAACATGTATTTCCATTCTAACTCCCCCCAAAAAGTTTATTCTAGCTTAGTATACTCTTGTGGCTTGAAAACTTAATAATCTCTCTCTCTGTCTCTGTCTCTCTCCTTCTCTATATATATATATATGTATTTGTTTATATAGATTATATAGTCTATACATACAACTATTTATAAATATATATTCTCTATATACATTTACTTATAATTATATTCTCTATATACATTTATTAATAAATATATAATAGTCTTTTCTTAAATTTAAGATAGGCCTATATTCAAGTGCTAATATGTTCTTTTAGACTAAATTATTATAATTATTATGAATACTAAGTAGATCAAACATGCAAATATATCCTTTCACAATTAAAGTTTGGAAGTAAAGTTGGATTGCAAACTCTTCCCCTTGAATTGCGTCATAAACATTTGGGTAAATATGACTTACCGAAAGAGAATTTCTACATCAGTTAGACTCTTTTTGTGTTTGTTGAGTGTGTATTAAGGAATCCTATTCAAATAAATGATTGCCATGGGATAAAACTCACTAAATTCTTTAAACATCTCCCAAGCTGCAAGCCAAAAAGTGCATAGTAGCTCTCTTCCAAACTGAATTTCACTAACCTTAGAGCTGACAGTTTAAATTCCTTTTCAATTTTGTGGCTAGTAGAAAAATAAAATCTATCTGCTTTGAAAAGGATCTTGGACATTAGAATAATTTACTTCTCCCTGTAGAATAATATTATGAATAATAACACTTATGTAGATAATAATATTTTGAACTTCTTAGCATTCCACCACAACTTTTGGTCTTCTGGTATTTACATTCTGTTATTATGCATCTTATTACATTTGGGATGGAGGAGAAAAATGTCTCTTTTAAAAAGTGATTTGTGAGAAGTTGACAGTGAAATAGATGGCTTTGGCAGTAGGCTTGGTTTTAAATCCTTTTTAGGAAAGAATTCACATCAAAGTGGAAGATGTGGAAATGGATTCACTTACAGCTATCTCTGCTCATACACTTCTCACAAAGGTCTCATGCATCCTAATTAAGCCTGTAGCCCCAAAGAGTAGGAAAGTACAGAGCTAGACTGCCATATGTACAGACTGAACTGTAGCTCTGTAAGTAAGAACGCATGCGGGACCCTAACGCTGTGCAGAGCCCTGCATGTTTCACAAAGGCTGATGTAGAAGAAAATACTGTCATTCCTGTGCAGATCCATGTGATCTGAACCCTAAGGCTCCGCACCTGTAGCACGCCTACTTATGACCAAAAGCTTAAGAGTTTAGTTGACATGTCTAATGGAATTATTACATATTTTGATAGAAAGTTTCAAGAGAAATAAAGCTCTATAAATTATAGTGCTCTTGATGCATTTTCTCTGTAGCACAGTAAACAGTATTTGAATCATTTAAAGTATCCCCAGAGCCTGCAAAAACAAATAAAAGTTCCAGATCAAATAACCTATGCTCATTACCAGTGGTACATATAGGAAATGGAATATTCCATACTAAAATAAATGAGCCATCAGGCCTTGAAAATACACTGAAGAAACTTAGATGCATACTACTACATGAAAGAAGCCAATATGAAGAAGCTATTGTATGTGTCCAACTATATAATATTCTGTAAAAAAAAAAAAACTATACATGGTAAAAAGATCAGTGCTTCTCAGGGACAATGTAATGGAGGCAGAAGATGTGGGAAATCACTGTACTATCTACTTAATATTACTGTGAATCTAAAATTGCTTTTAAATGAAAGTTATTAAAAAAGCACTGTAATATCTTGAGAAAAATGATTTGTGCTCATTTTAAGAGAAAATATACTTTCTGTTATTTAAACAATATAATCTGGGAAAGAAAATATTTTAAAGTAAGTGCCAATGAAAAATTGTAAAGAAAATCTTAAAAGTTTCCTTCAAGTAAGACTGCAAAAATTTTATTTAATTATTCTTCAGTCCAATAAGCGTAGTTAATAATTTTGTACTTTAGGAAGAGATTAATGTCTGACCGAGAATAATGAAAATGTAGACCAAATAATATCATAAAACCCAGCTTTTACCTGTATTTAAATGTGTGTCTGTGAATACAATATTTTTTTCTGTCACTGAATTAACTCATTTCAAAAGTTTAATTCCGTGTCCTAAGAGACTTTATAATATGTAATAATTCAACTGCAAAATGACTCAACTACATTTGAGGAGATAATTCTTCAAGTATTAACACTTTCATGGCAATATTCAACAAACTAATTGATTATGCTGTTAGATTTTTATACCATGTAGACTATACGATTTTGTGTTTACCTACAACAGATTAATTGGATGACAGTGATTTATTATACTTTTTAGTAATCTATAGGAACTAAAACAATGTGGAAAATAAATTTAGAACCAAGTAAAGTCACAGTTAATATTTTCTTTTAAGATCTGGTCTAAAAGTTGAATCAGTGCTTTCTAAA